CAGCCAAGTATACTTTCTGTCTGTCCTTCATGCCCATGAGCTCAACAGTTACCCACACTGGTCCCCACAACCTTGCATAATGTCCTGTCACACCACAGAACTTCTGAATGGCTTCTGGTACTCCTTTGTGGTTTAACATCTTGATACTCACAAGGGTCTCCTGAGATGAAGAATCTATGGCAAAGTTGCACTTTTGGCCATCCAGCTTTCCAGTCACGTAGACACTATGTGTGCTTGGCATTTAACATCTAGCTGTTGGGATTTTAACGATGGGAGTTTGGTGGGCGTCCCTCAACACCAACCACTAGTGGTTTCCCTGAGGCTGACTTATTGGAAATATTCTTCTTACACTGGCTCCTCAGATGTCCTTGCTCTCCACAGTTCCAACAACCTTTCTGGGTAGCAGCCTTTCCTGCTGTGGCATCTCCCCTGTGTTGATATTGCTGGCATTGAGTTCTCTTGTGCTCAGGTTGGTTACAGTGCCAGCAAAGTCCCTCAAACTTCTCTGAAAGCTGCCCTTTTCTGGCCTTGAATCCTGACGACTGTACCAACCTTGGTACCTCTGTGCTAGACTTAATGTAGGATTCAAATTCGAGAGCTCTGGCCATTGCATCTTGTATATAAGAGGGGTGTGCTTGCTTTACTTGTATCTTCAGTTGTGGACTGTCCAAGGCATCTACAAACTGATCCCTCAGCAACAACTTGAGGAGATCGGGTGGTGCAGTTCGGTAGGCCTTGTGTGCCATACTTTCCAAGTCCTGTGCCAGCTCTTGCAGGCTCTCCCCTTTAGCACGGACTCTCATCCTAAACCTAGCCCTGTACACTTTGGACTGATTTTGAGTTCCATGCCTGAGTTCTAGAGCCGCTACCAGTGCTCTATAGTTGTGCCTGTCGTCTGCTGACAACTGTCCAAGTATTTCCACTGGTTGTCCCTTCAAGCTCGTTGCCAGATATACTGCTTTCTGCTCCTCTGTCCATCCATTCATTTCTGCCAGTAGCTCAAATAGTGCTCCATATGCTTCCCACGGTGCCTTCCCATCAAATTCCTCTGGCTTCCTTCGTACTGGATCACCCCTATTGCTGACATTCATATCTGGGATGTGACTTCTAACAGGACTGAAGATGTCTGCCTTATGGTTTAGCTGCGAGGTCTGGAAGGGGCTTGCCATTGTCTGGGGCTGATTAAGTCGATGATTAATGTAT